CGTACATCCCCCTCCCTCTCTCTGGGCTTATGGCAACTCCAAATTCAATCTTGTCATAGAGAGGTACAGAGTAGCAGGAAATAGGCGTGGAGAAGATTGAGCACAAATATGAACGTAATGTTCACATCAGGGCACAAAATAAACACAAACCCACAGTTTTCCACTGAATTTTGTGAAAACTCGGATCGCCAAGCTGCCGCTAATTGGTGCCAGCGACGAAATGATTGCATATTTTTTTTGTCAGGGCGTCAGATTACCTCTATAGACGAAGTCACAACAAAATCAAATTTTTGAGGATTTGGGGTTGCAATATTTAGTTTAACGGTGCCAACCTTGAAGAGGGTTGGAATAGTGTTGAACCTTTCATTTCTTGTTCCCCTTCCCCCTCCCACCCCTTCCCAACTTTACCCGCAGACGCCGACTTATTACTAGAGATGGTCCCTAAACTTTTTGTTCACTTCATGAAACGCAAATTTAATCTTGAATGTGGTGCACTGTCAGTTTCTGTTTCAGTAGCTCATATCCTCGTCGAGCTTCAACGTCTGCTCCGACAAAGAGCTACACAGATATCGATATAGATTACAAGAGCTTTGAGCATTTCCAGCGTACCAACAGGTAAGTTTTCATACTCACCCAACTGTAGGTCAGCTAAATTAGTCTTAAATCCGATTTACTTCTACGGCGAAACAGCTACTGTCGTGCCAACTGCAGACCTGACGGAATTTCTCAAAAAACATCAAGCTCCTCAAAATTTGAACTGTTTAGGCAAAGAAAACAGTACCATTCCCATTTTGATATGCCGGAAGAGTTTTATGCAGAATTTGGTGGGAAGAGAAGGGAATTCAAAAGCACATATGAGCCGTTTGCAGTGAGTTACTTTGGAGTTAATAAGTAGCAATATTTGACATCGTTCGGCGAACAGTGCCATTGTTGTAAGGATGCTGGATTGTGTGCAAAACCCTTTACCTGAGGCTTTATTCAAGCTCGCACCTTTCTTTCCGGGTGAGTTTTCACACCAACAGGACGCCATTTCATCTCAACCCAGAGTTCAGTGGTATATTTACCTTGGCTTTTTATAGCTTTTAAGCACACATAGGCGTGATAAGCGTCATGCCGACATGGGCAATGAATTGTGAAACTGATGGCTATATTTAGGCTAAAGCTATAACCGACATATTTGATCAAAACGAATGTGATGTGGGCCAGAACTTTCAGCTTCACAGTTCAGATGTCGGCTAGCCGGCTTGCTACTCACGCTATACGTGTCTGTGCTCTAGTTAGTGTTATTTGAAGCTGAGTCAAAGTATATGGTGCTTTGATGCTTATCCGTAATAGAAACACCCAGAAACGAAGAGCCACGGGCTCAATTCACACCTGCGGAACGACGAAGCATGTTGCTTCACAACACGAGCATTCTGTGAAAAACTTACGCATCAGCAAACTGCCGTCGGAAAAACTGCGCTAAACAAAATAAAGCAATTCGGGAACATTGCTAGTGTTTTGTCCTTGTAGAAATCGATACACAGAGATAGTCGTGCTCGACAGCGGGAAGAAGAGGAGCGTCAACGGGAGATTCAGCGAGAACAAGTAAGTTAACTCTACTTTCAGTGTTCATGTTTTCCATTTCAGAAAAGCGTGTTTTTCATTATTTTGTATATTTCAGGTTTGAGCTTTCATAGGGGCTAGAGTGTGCCTAGAACTCAATGAATGAATTTTTTTGTGGAAAGCTAGAGGGTTCGGGAAAGGGATTTTCCAGTTGAAGTGGGCTCCCGAACTTGATGTTAGTGTGGTGCTCGATTTGCGCAATCACAATTACTTGCGTGTGACTATACGTAAGTTTGTACATAGGAATAGACAGAGAGCAGAGAACTGAAGGCGAAAGAGACATCCGGATTTCCGTGGTTTCCTGCAAGACATACTCGTTTTTTTTTCAGGAACGACTGCAGGCCAAATATCCGATTCCGACGTTTGAGCAGATGTTGCGAGAAAAGCGGCGGAAGCAAGGAAGAGGAAAGTCGAAAGCAAGCAGCTGGTGCTCTCGGTTTGGCCACTGCTGCCGCTGTAATATATTTCATAGTAAAGAAATTCTTCCGATAGTTCAAATAGTTTGTACAGTTTTCAGAGTATAGGAATTGGGTATGAATTACCTGCTATTTTTGTATCACTTGAAGTGGTGCAGATAAAATATTGCTCAACGATAGTCATTACTTGTTACTCGTTTAGTCTTGAACTTTCTCTGTCCCCCTTCCTTTCCTTAAATGTTCTTTGCATTCTAGTCGATTAGGATATTGGGAGGATATTCTGATATTCGTATTCTAGATTGTATTGGATGCGTCTGATAAAGCATGGATCCTTGTAATGATGTGCTACAATGTTACGCACTGGTTAAATATAAAGTTTTTCTACTTACAGTTAAGTTTTCCTAACCGAAATAAAAAGCTGTGGAGCGTGCGATGTCCATTTTCAATAGGAATATGAAAATAGCTGCGATTTTCGATGACATTAACCAAGTGCCAGAAAGCAGTAACTGTCATCGCCCAAACACCTAGGATTCACGAATGCAACACTGGTGTTAAGGCGCAGTTTCATTTATTTGAATAATATTGTTCTGCCACGAAGGTTCAGGATGCGTGGATCTGAGGTATAGGTCGAGGGAACAGACTCGTTCTGGCGTTCTTTTAATGTGCCACACCCTTTATCTCTTAAGCCTGAAATGAGAAGAGGTGTTTAATGAGAAATGATCCTTTACCGATAAACGGAGGGGATTTAAAATTCGGTTCCTTTCTTGATCTTAGATCTCTTTTCGCAGCTAGTGCTCTACAACATCAAAACATTCAGCATACCTGCTTGCACTGAAGGCCAACCTCTACTAGGAAAACGAGAAGGGAGTGCAG